CGCAGAAGAAATACCGCAAACACGCACCTTGAGCCAACCGTTTCTCGCCCATTTTTGCTTAAGACTTCAGCCCTCAGTAGACCCACTTATAAGAGCAGTTTTCACAAAAATTTAGTTATTTGAGTCTGTGCTCTTTCCATTGAGGTTTTAAAGATGGTACAGCTTTATGGTTGTGGTTTTTTTACCAGGTTGTGGTGTGTGGTCTACGTGGTTTTTGCTTCTTAATTGATGGTTTGTGGTTGTGCTATGAGATTTATGGTTATGTTCATTATGTTTGAGCTTCAGGTATCGTACATTAGACCACTTACACCGCCGGCATTCCATTGCCTCCCGGAATTCCGGGAGGCTACGGGCACCTGCAGCTCATCTGTCAGGCACCTGCCTTGGCGTTGCAGCTTAAGCCACAAAGAAAATCTCTTTCAATGAAAGAACGGCCCTTCGGCCCTGGACCTCCGGCTCGGGACACCGGTGTGACGTGAGAATTTGATAGAACCATGGAGATTAGATCATCCAATAAAAGCCTGTTCTGCCGTTCTACAGCCTGAGTTTCCGCCTCTGTCCCATGAGCACCCAGCTTTGCTTCTGTGAAAGCTGCCAGCCTGATGGGCAACTTTTGACCAGACAAACCTATGCAAAGCATACCAAAGCTCAGCAATTAAGGGATTCTCTGGCTGAAGCCCAATCAAGGTCTAGAAATCAAGGCAGGCATACTGGCAGGGCTAAAATAGGCAACATGGAGTCTCAATCAAGTCCTAAAATTGCTAATTCAGCTGTCCCCCTTTGGCCCAAGTACTTGAGACAGTGGAAATTCCACCTGAGGTTTTTGAGAATGGTAAGCAAAATAAAGCAGCTTGTATAAATATTCTGATTAAACAATACTAGCACTTCAACCTATAGGACAGTTATCTATCCTGTTGGTTCTATGGCTCAACCTCTCAATGGGACTTAGCCGTGATGCAGCAAATAAAGTTCTGAACAGCTTAGGCCTGATTTTATTCTTAACTCTAGAAATAATCTGGAGTGTTCTCAAGGCCTCTGGAATAAATTTGCAGATTCCTCATATTCATATTCCTAGGGATATACGAACAGCATATAAATCTTCTTCTGAACCTGAAATTGAAAGAACAATCTGTTGTTTAGAATGCTTTTCTATGTATCCACAGGGAAAGGGACAAATCCCTAGGAAATGCTCATATAGACAATCACCTCAATCAGCCATCTGTGGCACCCCTTTATTCAAGTCTATCAAGACTCTCTCTGGTACTAAAGATATTCCTGCTAGGCAATTCACCTCTCAGTCATTTGATTCCTTTCTATCATTTTTTCTATCTCGTTCTGTTATAGTTACAGCATTACAGCAATCTGCAACAGACAGTGCCAATAGGATACTTAATGGATATCCTGCTGTTATGAAGGATGTTAAAGATAGCCCACTTTGGAAGAGCTTAGGAAACTATGTTCTTGGACCATACAACCTTGTTTGGTCAATGTACATTGATTGGTTCAATCCTTATACCAATAAGATATCAGGTAAGAGTGCAGTTAATATATATAGCAATTCATATTCATGGTGAATTAGGCAAAGTTAACTCAGTTGGTGCAGTTGTATTGTTCTGCCTCAATTTACCAGTACATCTGCAGTTTGAAACTGAGAACTGCTTTTTCTGGAGCTTGATTCCAGGGAAAAAGCACCTGATGTTCATCAAATCTGGCATGTTATCCAAGCGCTGATTAATATCATGAAGGAGTTTTAGAATCCTGGCAAGAAAATCAAAACTACCCTAAATGCTGCAGGAGTCTTAGTTCAGTCCTTGATTATCCCTCTTCTTGCAGATCTTGGTGCAATTCGCAAAGTTGCAGGCTATCTGGGGCATAGTGCTGATATTGCACGTCTGGATTATGATAACTGGGAATTCCGTAGTAATGAGACTGTTCGAGCAGCAGCAGCAGCTTTCCTAGCAATTAATGCTTTTACTGCCAGAGAAGCTCAAGCCTCAGAGACTGGTGTCAGATGGTCACCTATGTTTGATCTTGCACTTCAGGCTACATTCAGCATATCTGGCAAATGCCTTTGCAGGGCTATATGCAAACTTTCATTCTTGTGCATAAGCATAAACAGATCCCATCTTGGCTTACTGCAAATACAGCATTTACCAGCTGCCCTGAGCTTCTGGCAAAGATTGTAGATGCCTCTCCTTCTGAGGAATACTGTATCATTGAGCCACAACATATTTTGACTCATCTTACAGTATTGAAATGGCAGATGACGTGCCAAGATTGATCGTTGCTCCGTGCAGTATGCCTGCACCATGTCGCAGGCCAGGTCCCAGGGGGATCGTCAGGCAGGGGGCGGCGATGCACCTGATGGAAGCGGTGATGCAATCACCGGAGTCGAAACCGGAGTCGGGGCGACTCCGACGGGCCGAAAGAGGGGTTCCCCCGACATCACCCCCCCCCCCTTTAAATGTGGTGTCCTGATGCATAGAACGGAAAGGGATGGTGTTGAAGGCTGCGGAGGCGATGTGCCACGGTTTGCCGGGGTACCTACGATAGAACTCCGTGATTTTGTCTGGGGCAAAGACGTGGTCGAAGCGGACCCACTGGTCATGCGACGTGTCGGCCTTCCCACTCCGGGACTCCGTTCTCAAGGTCCGGAGGGGGCTCGTCGTAGCCGGGGCGTCCATTGAAAGGGTCGTCTTGGGCGAGCTCAAGCTTGACGACGGGGAAGACCGGGTGGAGCTTCGAGTAGCACGGAGGGAGGTCGAGCTTGTACTAGTAGGCACCTTTGCTGATCTCCGCGACTATCTTGAGCAGTCCGAGGCGGCGGTGGGAGAACTTCTCCGAGGGGCGAGTCGTCCTGATGTCAGAGGCATCCAGCCAAACATGGTCACCAATCTTGAACTCCGGAGACAGAGTGCGTCTCCGGTTGTAGTAGCGCTTGTACTCTTCCTTGGCCTTAGTGAGCGCGGCCTTGGCTTCGGCAACCCCAGTGGCGATTCGGTTGCGGAACTCGTTCACAGACTCCATAGTGGAACGGACTCCGGGTTCGAAGCCCTTGCGCGGGAGTCGTCCTGTGTCCGTCATGAAGGGGACTTGTTGCGTGGAGGAGTGAACATGCATCCCAGTCGTCCTGCTGATAGTTGGTGAAGATCCGCAGGTACTGCTTCAACTCCTGGTTGACGCGCTCCGTCTGGCCATCCGTCTGCGGGTAATACGTGGTGGACGTGGCAGGCTTGATGCCGATTAGACGCCGAAGTTCTCAGGTGAAGTCCGCAATGAACTGCGAGCCATGGTCGGAGATGTACTTCTCCGGAGTCCCGTGGTGCCGCCAGACATTCCAGTAGTAGAGGCGGGCTGCCCCTACTGCATCGACCGGTGTATGGCACTCTGAGAAGTGGGCGCGCTTTCCGAGGGTGTTAATGACGACCATGACCGGCGTCGTACCCATGGGCCTCGGGGAGCTCCACGATGAAGTCAACAGAGACAGTATGCCAGCGCTCCGGAGGCGTCTCCGTAGGGTGGAGCTCTCCATGGGGTAGTCTCCGGAGTGCCTTGGTGCGACAGCACATGTCACAGGTCGCGACACACCAGTCGATATGGCGAGACATCTGGGGCCACCAGTAGTTCCGGGATACCAACTCCAAAGTCTTAAACCGACTGGCGTGTCCAGCGACTCGAGTGTCATGGCAGAGCTCGATGATGCGACTCTGGAGGTCCTTGTCCTTTGGTACGACGATCTTCCCTCGGAAATAGAGAAGACCGCCGGAGACAGCCCACTTGTCAGAACGTGAGGAGCGGGGGCCTCAAGCTTTACCTTGCACCTTAAGGAGTTGCCGGGCGGGGCCGCTGGTGCGACGTGCTCCTCCAAGTCAGGCTCACCAGAGAGGGCATCGCGAATGTCGCGAAGGAGTTCGGAACCGGGACCGGAAATGGAAACACCTTTGAGTGCGCGGACGTGGAAGAGCTCAGGTGGCAGAAGGACAACGTCAGAGTTGTCGGAATCGACTTCGTGATCGGGTCTCCGGGAAAGGGTGTTGGGTTGGCCTATGTCACAACCGGGTTTGTGGTGCAGCGCAAAGTCGAACCGGGAGAGGTAGAGCGACCACCAGGCCTGTCTCTGGTTGAGGTGCTGTGTCTTCCTGAAGTACTCCAAATTCTTATGATCAGTCCAAATCTCGACAGGGTGCTCGAGGAAGTGTCTGTACTCCTCGAGTGCGCGGATGATCGCGAGCATCTCTTTGTCGTGGATTTCATAGTTGCGCTGGAATAGAATGCTACAGGGTGCCACTTCCTGTCCGGGGTGGATTGTGAAAGAACCGCCCCCGTCACATAATCAGAGCTGTCCGCCTCAAGTCGGAAAGGCCGTGTGTCGTCCGGAATCGCCAAGACCGGTTCCGAGGTCAGCTCATATACCTGAATCTATGCATAAGATATGGGTGGGCTCCATAGGATGTAATGCATAAGATATGGGTTCTGCTTTCCCATATATAAAATAACTGTAATTGAGGATTATTAGCCAAGTGCTGATAATCTCTAATTTATTAGAATCAAAACTTGAAGTTTTTTTTCTTTAGAAGAAACAATTGAATTTATACTTGTAAAACATTTGGAAAAACCTGATCCTTTGTGCAACAACTTTTGCTGATAAAAAATGTGAAACATTTCACTAAAAACAATGTTAAAAAATACCTTGAATCTTTTCCCCCCACATTTTTCTTCACAAAAACTACTTGCAAAAACGCAAATTCTTGGTTTTTTTTCTCTATGTATAGTCTGACATTTTTCTGAATTACCATTAGGTAACAAACTTCAAGTTATTTTTCTGACATTTTTCCAGCAAAAGTTGGGGGGAAAAGTTCAAATTTTGACCCAGAACATTTCATTCAAAAATTTCAGATTTTTCACTAAGTTTTCATATGGCAAAATTGTGGAAACGGCCCAGTGATGAAAGACATTTCCAAGGTTTTTAAAAAGCCTATCTTTGTGTTGGATTGTGGTGATTATCTATGTCGGCGTACATTGCAGGTGGAATAAATTGGGCAACTATATCTGCCCGAATAAGCTTATAAAGGAAGAACCCAAGACGACACGCATTCTTACACCCTGTACAGCACCCCATGCACCCCCCTGCGCAGCGGCTGCCCCCGGCGGCGGAAGTCATCATCGAACCCTCCTCCACCGAAGTCGTCCCCTCCACCGCCGAAGTCCGAGTCGTCGAAGTCGTCCGACCCGGAGTCGAAGTCGTCGTCCGACCCGCTGTCGAAGTCAGAGCTATCATCCGCGCCGGAGTCGAAGTCCGCGCCGTCGTCGGTGTCGTCGGCGCCGGTGTCCAGGTCGGAGGTATCATCCGCCCCAGTATCGTCGACGCTGGTGTCGTCAACACCGGTATCGGCGTCGGCATCGGTGGTATCATCAACGCCATCGTCGGCATCGGTGGTGCCATCAGCCGCGCCGGCGTCAGCGTCTGTGGCATCAGCATCGGTATCGGCTGTGCCGTCGTCGGTGGTGTCGGCGTCGTCGGTCCCAGTGCCGTCGTCCGTACTGAACCGAGATCAATCCCCGAAAAAGCAGTAACCGGGAACAAGAACTCACGCAGCAGCAGCATTGGCGCCGTCCGTGCTGCCAAATGCGTCAGGGATTGCGTCACACTAGTACTGGCCACTCACGCAGTGGCGTCGCTGTCGGTGTCGTCGGTCCCGTCGGTCGCGGTGGGGTCCGCAGCATCAGTGCTGTTGGAAGTCAGATACTAGTAGAGACGGAGAAAACGCGGCGGCTAACGAGGTTGCATCATCAGTGCTAGCAGGCAAAAGCGTGAGCAACACCGTAACCCTTGGACAAAACAAGTACTCACGCAGCAGCGTCGTCAGCCGTGTCAGTCCTGTTTTACCAGTCAGCCAACTTTATAAATTCCAACACGGGCCCACTCACGATGTTGCATCTGCATCTGTGTCCGTGCCAGTCTCCTGTGCGTCGTCCGCGCCATCGGTGCTGCTTGCGGTATCGTCATCACCGCCATCAGTTGTGCTTGCCGCATCATCACCGTCGGTGGTTGTGGTCGGCGGCTCCGTTGCGGTGCTGTCGTCGGCATCGCTGGTAGTAGTCGGGTCCGTGGTGGTCGCATCTGCAGCGTCAGAGTCGGTTGTGGTCGGTGTAGCTGTTGCAGTGTTCGCTTTCGCGCCAGAGCCGGCCTTGGCCCCGCCGCCTGATCCGCCTTTAGCAGCTTTCGCGGCAGCGGCCTTGGCGGCAGCAGCGGCTTGCGCGGCGGCCTGTGGGACTTCAGTCGATCAATATTGTTGGTAAAAATGAACTAACCTTAGAGGCGGCAGCTTTGGCGGCAGCAGCAGCTTTGCTTGCTTGGGCTTTAGACTGGGGTGTTTATTGAGAAATTGAAGCCAATGATTCGCACAGAACTCACGGCGGCCGCGGCCTTGCTCGCCTGCGCCTTAGCGCTCGCGACAATCTACACCGGTCCGTTGATAACCAACAACCTTATGACAGATGGGACATACCTTGCTCGCCTGGGCATTCGCAGCGCTAAGAACTTTTGCAGCTTGCGCGGCTTGAGATTTCTGAGCCTGCGCAGCGCTAGCTGCCGCATTCGACAACGCGGCTTTCGCACTAAATATCAACCCAGTCAACACCAGTTTGAAGACAGTATTGAAGTACCCACCTGGCCTGGGCTACGGCGGCGCTCTTCGAGGCTTTCGCAGCAGCCACACTGGCGCTTGTCGCAGCGGCGGTGCCCTTCTTCGCACCGCCCACGGCAGCGGCAACCTGGTTTGCGGCGTTGGAGACGGCGGCGGTCGCGTCACATGCACTCGAGACGGCCTTGCCAACATTGGAGGCAGACGTGAGGAAGCCCTTGATGGACGCGAGATTTTTCGAAACCGAGGCATCGTTTGTCTTGATCTGGCTCAGCACGGAAAGCGCCGAAGTAAGCCCGTCGGAAAGGCCGCTGGTGATGTTGGCGCACTGTGTGCACCAGATACTAAGTCAACGCAAAAGATAAGAACAGGTCGCGTACCTCGCCGCTTGTGTTCGTGAGGAAGTCCAGTAGTCCGCGTGCCTCGAGCGCGGTATTGAGCTCCGCCGGCATCGGCGCAGCCGCCACATGTGCCACGAGGAGGGCGAGGATAAAGGGAATTGTACGTGTCATCAGTGGGAGTAAGGTGGTAGTCGATTAGAGCAAAGAACGAAGGTCGATGGTCCAGGCAAGCTGGAGGTTGCAACGAAGAAGAAGAAAATGAAAGAGCCGACGATAGACAAGACACACAGGTAAGGACTAGCCTGCGGAGAGGGGGAGAAGGAAGGAAGGAAGTGGGGAGGTGTGAGAGCGGGATGAGTATTTATCCCCTGGTAGATGCGGTGGCGGAGTTCTGACAGTCTACGATGGCTTCGACGTGAAGGACATGGAGCTGTTGGACGCGTTGGCCATCAGCTGTATGTATCCTGTCAGTCGCGCGCATAAATAGACTGTCACACCGCTATCAAGGTTTGCAAGCTTGGGGGCGCTCGGCACATCCAGTGACAGCAAGCTGTGTCGTGGTTCTGGAAACCCTTTACATTCCAGCCACTCTCCTCAGGCTCCCAGTGCCGAACCCCGAGTCCCCCGAGTTGAAGAGGCTCGCAAGGACGTGAATGAATCAGCATTGCACGAATCATGATGTCCCATACGGGAGAGGAGTCGCGCCGAATCAATCTGCCAAGCCCCGACATCGACGGACGGCGCGCGTCCATCTGTCAGTGCCAAGTCCAATACGCATTGCTCGCCTCGACTCCAGTTCACTCGCGCCGGGCCCAGCGTGTCGCCATGACGCGATGGACATAGACGACCCATATACGACAGAAACACAGCTGCAGCATAGCGGAGGAGACTGAGAAGAGCATCATCAGTATTCACATCCCAGGCCAGTATCCAACTTAACAAGCACGGCTTTATGCATCGACTGCCCACCCAAAGACAGCGACGCATGCCTCCAGGCGGCGACAGACGCCGATAATACGCTCTTCGTCGCAGTTCGCCACCGAAAACCGGACCCAACGGTCATCCTCCTGCTCCACCTTCTTCTCGTCACGGAAAAAAGCGCCCGGCAGCACAACAACGCCTATCTCCTCTGCCAGCCGCTGCGCAACCGCCTTGCTCCCCCGCCCCACGAACGGATGGCGCACGAAAGCAAAGTACCCCCCACTGGTCGCGACTTTCCAGATGGACGGAACAGAGGCACGGAAGAGCTGGTGTCGGGCGTGAATTCGCGCCGCAGTCTCCGTTATCGAGGCCCGCAATCCCCCCGCATCGAGCAGCGGGGCCAGCGCCAGCTGGATCGGCCGTGGCGCGCAAATTTGGAGGGTGTCGAGCACTTTTCCCAGCGGCTTCTGAAATGCAGGGGAAGCCACAACGAGGCCCAGGCGGTGGCCAGGCACTGCGTACGATTTGGAGAAGGAGAAGAGGTGGATGAGATGGCTACGCCACGCGGTCGACGAGAAAAGTGAATGGGGAGGGCTTGCGGGGGTAATAAAGTCCCGATACGTCTCGTCAATGATGAGTGCGACCCCGCTTTCCCGCGCCAGTTCCGAAAAAGAGGTCAGCAAGGAGGGCGGATATGTCGCGCCAGTCTACGAATGTCAGTCTCATGCACCCACGTCAGAAAAGTTACACACTGGGTTGTTTGGTGTAACTAGTGCAATGGCACGGGTCTTGGAAGATATGAGCAGCTTGCAGCGCTCGACCGAAGGCATGAACCCGTCTTGGGCACGCGTCTCCAGAGGAACGGTGGTTATCCCCAGCATGCTGAGCGTCATTCTGCCAAGCTTGGTCATAGCCAGCTACCAACTCAGCACGCACTGGTGATTGAAATACCTAGCCGGGCTCGTCAGCGCTCGCTGACACGGAATGTTCTAACACACACCAAGGCACGGGCAGGATAACCTCGTCACCCGCGTCCGCCAGGGTCACAATTGCCGCGACAAATGCCATGTTGCAGCCCGCCGTCAAGCTCATATCCTCGGCCACCACACCCGTCTCGTTTCCATAGACAGCCTTCATCTCTTTCGCTATCGCCTGGCGCAGCGACAGCTCCCCTTCGGACGGACAGTACCCAAAGTTCTGCAACGAAGTCGACGCTATGCCCAGCGCGGAGACGAGTGCTGCGTCAGGCGGGTCGCCTGGGACGCCTCTTATCGGCTATGTCAGTCTTCGAGGGTGTATCGTAGAGGCATACGCACTGGGACATGTCCAGCAGCGGCCCATGGGGCTGCGAGGTGGGGTAAGCCGCTGCCCACGTGTAGGCCGACGGAATCCTGCAAAAGGATAAGAACTGCGTGTCAGGGGATAGGGAAGAGTGGCCGAACGGAGGTGTTATGGTGTCTTGGACACCTTGCGAGAGTTTGAAGCCTAGCATGGTGGAGAGAGGAAAGAGTAGCAGCGTGGGAATGGCCGCAGACTGCATTACCAAATTCCTTTTGATACCAACAATTGCTTATCGCTTATAACCTATTTGGAACGATTGCAGCTATTTGTAAGTAGCGTACAACTCTCTTTCAAGCCAATACAATATCATTTTGCGCATCTTGGTAGCTAACAACTATTTGACACTGGTTTTGAGTAGTTTTTGACTACACTAAGTTCACTCACTCACAGCTGACCTACTTCCCCCATGTGAAACATTTTACAGTCTAATGATAAAACAAAAACTACATTATAAAGATAAAGTATTCCCAATATAGCTTAGCAACACAACTGCCAGCAGCCATAAGCCAAATGAATATGTGAGGGTCAATCCATACCCAGGACTTGGTGTTGTTGGGTGTAAGTGACGAAGGTGATCGGGGACAGTGCGAGAGCAACAGCAAGGGCTCCGGACCGGGTGGACATATCAGCGATGAATGGCGGAACTTAGATCATAAATGTGGGGAGCTGAAAACTTGTAGAACTATGGAATACAGTGCTTTATACTAGTATACTGGTAATGAAATGAAATGACTCCAAGAGTGAGTCAGACCAAGTTCCGGGGCCACGTCCGATTAGTCACTGGGTCGGCAACACATTGCTGTCAAGCGCGTGAATGCATTTAATGTGCATAATGCCATGGCACGCTGATGTTATATCACTGTTATGTCACTGATGTAACATGATCTCCCCACACTGGCGGCTCAACACTAGAAAAAAAAAAGACAAGATGGACCCTTATCTAAAGTAATACTCTATGGAATGTGAAACATGAGCAGAAGGGTTGGGCTGATACTGTAGTATTTTAATCAACTGTCTGGCCATTTTTTATTTTTTTGTGCTCAAGAAGGCAGAAAAATTTAATCTTGATTTTGGCTATTTTTTATCCAAGGAGTTTTTTTTTTTGCTATGTAGATAAAGTTGGAATGCAACCTTTAATGCACGGCTTGCTGCAGCAAGCACCCACCATCCTCAATGACCTTGGGATTAAGATGAAATTGCAAGGTGTCGGTATCATCTGCTGATTTTTCTGGAAGTGTAGATGGGAGCTGCTGGAGGAGATCTGCAAGGTGTCTCACTCAGTTGAGAATTTCACGGGGTGGTCTGGTAGATGGTTTTTGATACTTTGGGTTTCTAGATATGTCTCTTGGTTTAGGGACCATGCTGGTCAGTCTCCTGTTTCACTCCCACAGAACGTGACAGTAGATTGCTTAATAAAGGTTGTTCATAGAGTGAAAACATACAAGTTTGGTTTTGTGATGAGCTGTGACATTCCCTGATGATTGTCCTGTGAAATGGCAGAAAAATTTGTTTTTCGGAGGTTTGTCAATGCTTGTGACATAGTGTCACAGTGCTAAACTGCCAATTATCTCATTAGTGTATAGACTTCAAGGATATTGTTCAAATTATACATACCTTATATGCTAGTGATAAGCCCATGTGTCAAGTGCCATGCAGAACAGAGGGGGTTTCTACTATAGCTAACAAGCCAGTAGCTGCCTGACATGAATGAACACAAGACCAACCGGACTGGAGCGGACCAAGGGTCCGCGAGCGGAGTGAGCCCGGCTGAAGGACAAGAGAAGAGAGAGAAGAAGATCGGAGTCGTTCCGCACAGAGGAGGAGTGCAAGTAACGTTTATAATCAAGCTAAAGTACCGTAGCTACTTTAGCTGCCTAAATACTAAGAGTAAGTAGAAAGGGAAGACCATAAGTAAGTACAAGGTACGGAGTGCATATGGAAGGTAACAAACATAAGGACATACAGAGGTATAAGTAACAAGGCAAAAGACATACAGAGTACAAGGTTGCCGAAGCGACCGGATCGGATGGGGCCGGAGGCCGGCGGACCGTGACCGGTCCGCGGCACGTGACGGATGCACGGATATGACAGTATCCCCCTCTTAGGCACGAGGCCTGCGAGAGCCCAGAAGATTCGATGGAAACCCTGCGGAAGGTAAAATTGAATGGCTGCAGGGCCGCAGCTTGGCGCAGCAAATGAATTGGCGGAAACGGCGGTGATGATCAAAAGTTTGTCGGAGAGTGCTGGATTGTGGTATATAAGGCCGTGAGTTTTCGTGACGGCGGACCCAACTCTCTCCCCTCTACCACCACCGCCATGTCGTTGCGCGCCATCCGTAAGTACTCCGTTACGGAGCGGACGGAAGAATAACTGACCGTTTTCTAGCCTGTTATCGCTGCATCAAGAAGACGCTGTAATGCGTGGACCAACCGGTCAAGAAGACCAACATGTCGTCGTGTGTAGAATGTATAGACGCCAAGTCCTCCTGCGACTGGCCCAGAACGCCTCCGAAGGCCAAAAGGGTCGTAAGACCAAAAGGGTGCGTGATCAGCCAACGGAGTGACTCCGACAACTAACCTTCAACATAGCGAAGCTGGCCTGACCAAGGCTCAGCGCGAGGAGCTCGAGCAGAGTCGCTCCGAGCTCAAAACTAGCAAGGAGAACGAGGCCATGCTCACCCAGCTGGCGAACGAGCAAGGGCAGCACCTGATTAGGCTGTCGAAGCAGCTCGCCGAGTTCCAGGCAAGGGGTGGATGGTGGGGACTTGGAGTCGGAGCCGGAGGGCGAGGGAAGTGGGTCGAGGGAGGAGTCGCCGGAGGCGGAGAGTCCTCAGGCCGCCAACGAGCGCGCCTACAAGGAGGAGCTCCGTCGTCTGGTCGACGAGAGGGAGGCAGACGCAGCGAGAGAGAAGGCGCAAAAGCGCAAACGGACCGAGACTCCGGTCGTCGAGTCGAGCGACGACGACGAGGACGAGCAGCCGGTGCGCCAACACCGGAGGGTTTTCCGTAAGGGTTTTGGCCCGCGCGCAAACCCGGTGTCGTTATTCGACGACGAGTTCACGTCGTTGACCGACAACGAGGCGAAGGAGTCCGAGAACGAGGGCTCAAAGGAGTCGTCCGAGGAGGAGGAGGAGGAGGAGTCCGAAGTGGACAAGAAAGGCAAGGGGGAAGCAGCGAGCGAAAAGCTCACCAGAGAAGGTCCGGGCCCGTCGTGCCCCTGCGACGATCGCAGTGCCCAACTGGGTGCCACCGGTCATCCGGATACCCGACCCCCTCGATATCGCCAATTCGATGAGGGTTTCGGAGCTGGAGCGGGCGGAGCGCAAGCGCGAGAAGAGGATCTCTTTGTACCGCTCCTGAGTGGAGGAGATCTGTTTTCGAAGAAACTCGTGAAGGGATTCCAAGTCAACGACGTAGTCCTTGGCGTAAACATTAGCCACATCTCATTCAGGATGAATGGTAAGAGATGGATTGTAGCCTTTGTTAGCGAAGAACGGAGAGACTCTGGTTGACGCGTTAGGTGCGTTGTTGTAGGCGAATTCAGCACGTGGAAGCAGGCGGTCCCAGTCGTCCTGTTGGTACGAGACACGTTAGCTGACGGATGTAAAGCTCCGCACAAGTGTCAACACCCGCGGATGTTTGCACAGGTACCTGCAGGAAAACATCCGCAGGTTTGACATCCGCGGATACAGGTATCTGTTTCCCACGGATGCCAAGAGTACAGGTATGACTCTGGAAGATCTCAATTTTTATTATCTTCCATATATTCCAGTCCCTACAGTCTTCTTATGCCCTGTGGTGTCCATATTAGTATATTACTTGATACTATATCCTATATAAGCTCTTAATATTGTCAATATACCTCAGTATCCTAATATTTTATTCAAAATACCCGTGGATAACCCGTGCAGGTACAGAGGTACCCGTGCAGGTACAGAGGTACCCGTATCCGTGAGTACAGGTACCCGTTTCCCACGGATGCTGCAAGTGCAGGTATTGGTTTTGAAGCCTAAATTACCTGCAGGTAGAGTACAGGTATTTATCTGTGACACTCGTGAGAAGCCTTAGACGGATCCCAACCCGAAGTGTAGTGAAGCTCCATGTTAAGTAACTCGCCTAATGACCGGAAGAAGGTTATTTTTCAGCCGGTCAACACAAGGAACAACTGATTTCCTTCGGTTCAAGAATGCACTCGAGACCTATATCGCAATCGTCGGGCCTATGATTCGGTCCCTTTGGTCTCTGGAGGCTGCACGAGCGCGTGGCTCCGATGTCTTTGCTTTTTGGCACGCGATGGCAGCAACGTTGAAGCATTTACTCGAGCAGCCGACCACCACGACAGGCATCACACTTGGTCTTGCTCGTCGTGTTACTGCCATCTTCAACCGACGATACAAGCAGTTCTTCGACAACAACGACTTTTATTTCACGACATTCTGCATGGACCCCCGCTTCTCAAATGAAGCTTTCCTGAAACCAGAACCCTCATCGCAACCTGCTCCATCGACCAGCTCTTCTGCACGGTCGCGCACTGTCAAGCAGACATCTTCACCCATCGAGCGTTATCAAACGTCCTTCAATCGTGCTTGTGACATGCTCCAGGCGGTACTGAATCAGCTTCTTGAGCAGGCGGAAGATGATCCTGCCAATGCTCATCCTGCCCTTGCCGGATTGGACCCACAATATGTGGCCCGTGAATGGTTTTTCGCAGATGTGCGCTTTCTGGACACGTCAGTATCCCTTCGACCGCGCAATCAGTGATGGTGATTCTCGAGGATGGTGAGAGGTTCTTTTTCAGCACCCTCTTGCCCGTTTCGTGGCCTTGTGCGTTCTGAAGCTACTGTCCATCACCGCAAATTCGATGGCAGACGAGCGGACCAACTCGATGGTCACATGGATGAACTCGCCGCTGAGGGGGCGTCAATCCATTGTGACGCTTCGCGATATGATTCAAGTCGGGCAATTTCATCGCGCCAAAGAGCAGGCCAACGCGCAGCCAGTCTATCACCCCACTGTCAAGTTTCGGAAACTGGAGCCTGGGAAGATTGCCGCAGTACAGGCACTAGGTCGGACTGGAGCTGAGGCAGAGGAGGAGGAGGAGGACGAGGGGGGAGGACGAGGATGAGGATGAGGAGGGTGATGTGGGGGATGAAGGGGATGAAGATGCAGCTGTGAGTGGGGATGAGAATCATCTGCAGGA